CAGTTTTCTAAGGCAGTACAAACGCTGCTGGCCTTTCTTACCCACAGCATCACAGTTTTCCTCAAAATTCAGTTCCCTATCCATAATTGTCCCCAGATATTTATATGATTTCACCTGCTCAATAGTTTGACCTTTAATTATGGAAAGATCATGCTGTTGTTGAGGCTTCCTTCTAAAATCAAAGATCATATCTTTTGTTTTAATTACATTAAGTTGTAGATATGATTCATCACACCAAGAGATAAAATCATCAAGAACAGGTCCATGGCTGTATTCCCCTTCTCTCAGGAGGCTGACAACTACAGAATCATCAGCATATTTAATAATTGTCCTTCTCTCATGTTTGCTTTGGCACATGTTGGTGTATAAAATATACAACAACAGGGAAAAAACACAGCCCTGAGGAGATCCGGTAGACACAGTTCTCGTATCCGACAGGGTACTATTCACTCTGACCTTTTGTGTTCTGTTGATCATAAAAATCTAGTTTCCACCCAAGCATGCTTTTACTCAGGTGAAACTGTTCCTCTAGCCTATTAACCAAAACATGAGGCTGGATTGTATTGAAAGCGGACGAAAAGTCCACAAAGAGGAGTCGAGCATGAGTTCCTATAGGTCCAGATGATGAAAAAGCATATCTACCAGAGTGACCATTGCATCCTTATGTTAGGCTCCAGACTCCTCCGTGTTTGTGGAGATAAAACAGCAATGTTGCAAGTCAGAGGTAGAGTCATATTGCTGTTAGAAAAACAGAAGAGAGATGTCCAAATATCAGGATATAAGACTCCAAATCCTGCCGTCTGATGATGCTTTCTCCTCTAGCTGACTTCTACGTCCTCAAACAGGCGCACCAGAGCATTATTTTGCTAGAGAACAACTTACAAGGCATTCATTCCTTCTAGAGACCACTGCAGATGTATTGTAAATATGAGTGAAGTTGACTCTTAAGGCTCCAAAATGAGCCAATCACAAATCTGGAAATGTTTTTTTTAGACTCGGTTCATAAATTTGTTAAAAATGGGTGGAGATATTTTGAAAGCTGCATGCTCAGGGTTTATGAGTTAGCTGAGATTAGAGTACAACCCTTTTTTATTTTGCCCACCGATACACAGTATATTCTACGTTAAATGACTCTATTTTCCTTGCAGTTTATTTGATGTTCAGGTGTGTAGAATAAAGCAGAAATGTGATGTTTATTTCAAGAAGGTTTACATCAGAGTTCTCTAAAACACATCTTCTTGTTATTCTCTTTTTTCTAGAATGGCTTCACCCCGCTGTACATGGCGGCGCAGGAGAACCACTTGGACGTGGTGCAGTTTTTACTCGATAATGGCTCCAGTCAGAGCATCGCCACTGAGGTACAAACACGCACGAGCAGACAAATGGTTCCGTTTCTGTAATATGTGTTTGTACTTCCAACCTCATTACATTTCCTAACAGCTGCTTGTTGTGTCAGCTCTCTGTGATTATGCAGAAACATTATGGCCAAGAGTGCCTCTGTCTCACATAGCAGCCTGTCACCATTAAGGGTTAAAACTGTAATTATTTTCTTCAGATTAGTCTGTTTCTGGGAGAGAGTGAAGGAGATAGTCAGCTCTGGATGGTGTGTTCATTCAGAGTGACCTTGGCTCTGCAGCTGCCAACAGGGAGGGACCTGTGACGTCATATGAGTCTGGTGTGTGTGTGTGTGTGTGTGTGTCATCTGCAGCACGACAGATGGAAAACTGCCAACTTTACATGCTCAAAATACACGAAACACACTTTTATTATGGCTATACCTATTGGTTCATGTTTATTTTACACACCATTCTTGATTTAGCAGGTGTTGGTGATGAATTAGAGACACTACATAGCTAGAAATGCACAACATTTCCCTGGAAATGTCACAGAATTGGTGGGCTATGTTTTATTTAAGATCAGGTCACATGGGGCTTATGATGTCACAAGAAAAAAATCACAACATTTGCAAATAAATATTCATTTCAAATTGGCCAGTCTCTTCAATATGTGTGTTTGTTTGCAAATTTAAACACTGATCCCTTCCAATGTTGTAAAATACTGTTTGCAATTTGTCAACAAAAGTTGCAACTCAGTGAGATACTGTTGTCACGGTAACCGGTGTAGCGGTAAACCCCGGTAAAAAAGTTGACAATAATAATAACCATCTTGTTTTAAAATATATATATATTATCTCGGTGGATTACCATGGCTGTGGTGTAGGTGCGGTGACCCTTACCAGCCACCGTATCATCTGCTGAAGTTGTCGGCGGCACATGCCCGCTTTGTTGTTTACAACCAAAACTTTCTTGAAGCTAAAGCTGAAATAATGGTCAAAGGAGGAGACGGCAGCATTCAGGACATTTTTTATCCCTCAAAGAAGACAAAGTGGGAAGTATGGGCATCTTTTGGATATTTGAAGAATGTCGAGGGACAGTTGATAGAAGACGGCTATCCTGTTTGCAGCACGTGCAGAAAAAGTGTCTGTGAACGGCAGCAACGCTTCAAATCTCATGACACATCTGCGTGACCATCACCCACAACTCTACAGTCAACGCAAGGCAAGCTAACATTAGTGTTTTAGCTAAAATGCGTGATCCGAGGATTTGGGTTGAGGGAGAATGCAACGAGCCGCCACATAAAGCAGCCGCAGCGCCGCTACCTGCATATAAATCGTGTCGCGGACACCCCCATGTTGAAATGATGCTATGCATTACGGGGCTCCCAGAGGCAGATAAGAGTTGGTCTCTCTCCGAGAATAATTATAAATTTATGACATTTTCCCAAATCTGCAAAGCTCACTGGAAGGACACAAACCGAGGACAATATTTTCCTGATATAGGGTTTATTACTCAAGTAAGGGTAAAAAAAGTATCTGATTAGAAGGCTACTTGAGTACTGAGTGTCATCTGATCTAATATTTTTAAATGATGAAATAAGAAGTTATGGGCAAATATTGGTATTGTAAAGACTAAAGGGGAAAAATGTAAACAAATAAACAACATAATTACAAAATAACACATTTTAGACACAAACTGAGAACAATATTTCCTGACATACAGGGTTTATTTAATTGTGTGAAAATGTAGCACGTTTAAAAAAAATACAGCGATAATACCGAAAACCGTGATAATTTTGGTCACAATAACCGTGAGGTTAAATTTTCACACCGTGACAACCCTGTAGCTTACCCATCGTCTTTAATCTAACATTTATTTTACTTTTGTGAGGTATATATACATTTAAATCCTGATACTTATGTTTGAATAAAATGCTTTAATTTTTCTATTAAAGGACAAATATGCCACATTTTCAAAACACAAGCATTCATAGATGAAGAATTAAAGGGGAAAGTAGCAAATATTTAAAACACGCTTTGATTGGAAGTAAGAAGGAAAAAGCTTTTATTTTGAAAGAAATTGTCATAATTTCTCTCATAGATGAGCTTACAGTCTTTCTAAAGCATTTTTTGAAAGTGGAGTGAATTCTTGACCCCCTGAAGAACTATTTTCAGAGTTGGGTTGATATGCATTTGGTGCTCTTCAGTGTTTGTGATGCAAGAACAGAACAAAGGAGCTCCCAGACACTTCACAGGAGCTTTAATATAAAAATAACACACAGTTTGCTTCAGTCTTTCCAATAGAACTTTAGCTTTTTTTTTAAATGTATAATGGAGCTTTTATTTCGTTTTGTGGCTACCTTTTGCTCATAAAATAATTGCTGTCACAATTCGTTTGAATCTGTTGATGTACTCTGCTCTTTGGTTTCCCATTTGGATTTGCTTGTGTCCCTGTTTGGAAACCTGTGTTGTGTTTTTAGAGCCTTGTCCTTGACATTTTCAAACAGCTGCATCTCACCTCATGCCTTCCCTCCTTTTTCTTTCCATCATTCCCTTTTTTGTCTGCATCTGTCTCCTCGTCTGCCTGTTTTCCACCACAGTTCTCCGTTCTCCTTCTTTCACCTTCCCTGCAGTTCCCACCTCTGGGACATAAATTGAATAATTCATGTAGGGAAACATATATCCATGCTGGAAGCATCTCCATGTCTTTAATAATTCAGGTATCACCAGTTTTACAGGGCTTAGTGCAGAAACAATCTAAAGCGTTTTTTTTGTATTGCATTTCATTTGTTCATTACATGTATTTGATCTAATTTAGCTGACTAACTGCTCATCTTGACTTGAGGATGAACATGGAATCATCTTGTTAAAGCTGTATGGTTGCAGTCCAGTAGGAGAAAATGTGCTGCATCACTGCAAGTTTGTAAGAATTAAAAAGTGTTCTGTTGTTCAGTTGTTTGTTTCTTGTTGTATTTTTAGGGCGTCAAGCTGCCTTCATGTTTTTTTTTATGAATTCTTAATGAAGCAGATGAAACAGGAGAGCTTTTATCCAGGGTGTCTCTCCTCGTTTCTGATCTTTAAAAGGAGAAACGTATGCATCTGAATAAGTTTGTGTTCATTTGGGCGTGACCCTGTGTGTGTGTGTGTGTGCGTGTGTGTGTGTGTGGAGGTGACATTATGTGCAACCCAAGAGCTCCTAGAAGTCCTTTCTGTGCGGGGGGGGGGGGGGGGGGGGGGGGGTTGAGTTAGTGTTATCCAGATGGTTGTTGCACAGCTGTGCATGCAAACGTGTGTTGTTTTCTTTTCCATGCCAAGGATTCAGGCTGCTGTTGCCTTTTCATTTATCAAACTGCCGCAGAGAATCGTCATGCATCGATGTACGTGTCTGTGTCTTGCGTAATGCCCATCAGCAGCTAAATTTCTTTTTGATTGGACCCTAGAGTCACACACTAAACTACCGTTAAACCATAGAATACCAACTTTATTTATAAAGCACATTTAAAAAACGGCATGGCAGCCGACCAAAGTGCTATACAGAATAAAAAGTAAAAACACAATATAAAACAATACACGGTCAACAATAAAATGCACAACAAGGCAGATAAGCACGGTCAATAAAAGACACATGGTAAAATCATAAAAGTCAGGGATTTAAAAATGCCTGGTCGTAAAAGTGAGCCTTAAGTAACAACTTGAACCGGAGGAGTTCATTTGTGTTGTGTGTTCTCTAAAGAAGGAGCATCTGTAAATAATGTGGTGGTGTTTAAAAAATCACTCTGCAGTTCTTAATATGAGAACAGAATACCAACATATTCTGGAGGCACCGCCCTTTTGCTGACCCTCAGCTACTTAACTTGCAGACAGCAAAGGCATGTGTCTGATTGATAAGATGGGCCATTACTCAGCAAGGCAACAGCTGTAGATAAAGAGAGAGAGCGAGAGAGAGAGAGAGAGAGAGAGAGAGCAGTTTGTCACTTTAAAGGGTTGTGATTTTCTTTGGTATTGCATCTGTTTCATCCAGACAGAAAAGTTTCAAATCCAATCAGGAGTGAACCAGGGGATGTCTCTGTGCAGCACCAATGCAGAAAAATTGAGCGCTTGTGGAAGAAACCCCGTCTCCACGTCGATCTGCTGCACCTAAAGGATCTTCTGACATCTTTTAACTCTGCAGTCAGAGACGCTAGGGTTTCCTGTTTTTCCAACCTGGTGTCCCAGAGCAAAGGGAACCCTAAGGTGCTGTTTAACACCATCAGCAGCATCGTCTCTCCTGCCTCTCCTACAGCCTCCATCCACTCTGTTACAGACTGAGAACTTTCTGTCTTTCTTTGTGGACAAAATCAATAAGGTTAGATCTAGCATCTCTCCTTCAGCCTTATCGCTGCCTCTCCTGACTCCAACCAGGCCCATCATCCTAGATAGCTTGGCTCCTGTTTCTTTGCCTGAGTTAACCAAACTAGTTAACTCTATGAAGACCTCTGCATGCCCCCTCGACATCTTACCCTCATCTTTGTTTAAAAGTGCTTTTCTGTCCATCGGTCCCAGCGTGCTCTCCATTATTAATGCTTCTCTGGTTTCTGGCCAGGTCCCTGCTTACTTTAAGAATGCTGTAATCTACCCGCTTCTTAAAAAATCGAGTCTTGACGCCTCTCTCCATAGCAGCTTCAGACCCATCTCTAAACTTCCGTTCATCTCCAAGATCTTGGAAAAGGTTGTGGCTAAACAACTCACAGCTGCTCTTGATGAACATAACATCTATGATAGCTTCCAGTCAGGTTTTCGTAGAGCTCATTCTGCTGAAACAGCTCTTCTTAGGATCTCTAATGACCTTCTGACTCACAGTGATGCAGGGGACTGTTCTGTTCTGGTCCTGCTGGACCTGACTGCAGCCTTTGACACTGTTGACCATCACCTGCTACTGGAGAGGCTGAGAGACTGGGTAGGCCTATCAGGAACTGCTCTGGAGTGGTTCTCCTCTTATCTTTCTGAGCGCTCCTTTTCTGTGGCCATCTCCAAGTTTAGGTCCTCCACCACCTCCCTTACCCATGGTGTCCCACAAGGTTCTGTGCTGGGGCCTCTGCTCTTCCTCCTCTATCTGCTCCCTCTTCAGCACATCCTGAGCTCCTTCAAAGGAATCTCCTACCATCTTTATGCAGATGACATCCAACTGTACATCTCCTTTAAGCCCCATGAGATGTCTAAGCTGCAGCTGTTACACACCTGCTTAGACTCTATCAAAACCTGGATGGCTGGGAGCTTTCTTCAGCTGAATGAAGATGAGACTGAGATCCTCATCTGTGCCCCAGACAAGCTGGTTCCCAAAGTCAGAGACTCTCTTGGTCAGCTTGCTTCTCACACCAAACCCTCTGTCTGGAATCTTGGCGTGACCTTTGACCCAGCTCTCACCCTGGATTCTCATGTCAGTTATCTTGTTCGCTCTTCCTTCTTCCATCTCAGGAACATTGCTAAGCTGAGTCCCATTCTGTCCCGCTCTGAACTTGAGACAGTTATCCACTCCTTCATCTCCTCACGCTTAGACTACTGTAACTCTCTTTTCACGTGTCTGAGCAAAACCTCCCTGAACCGTCTACAGGTGGTTCAGAATGCCTGTGCTCGGCTTCTGACCAAGTCCTCCAAACACACCCACATCACCCCGCTTCTCCTCCAGCTTCACTGGCTGCCAGTCAACTTCAGGGTTCATTTCAAGATCCTGGTTCTGGTCTAAAAGGCCTTACATGAACAAGCACCATCTTACATTGGTGATCTTCTTAGTCCCTACACCCCCAGCAGGTCCCTGAGGTCCAGAGATCAAAGCCTACTGGTTGTGCAGCGCACCAGGCTAAAGACCAAAGGTGACAGATCATTTGCTGCTGTGGCCCCCAGACTCTGGAACTCTCTCCCCCTGCGCCTGAGATTGGTGGACTCAGTGGACTCCTTTAAAAAGCAGCTGAGGACTCACTTGTTCAAAGTGGCTTTTGTATGACCTTCTTCACCACTCTCTCTTTATTCTGCTCTCCCTACCTATTCCACCTTCCTCGGGATCCACTGATTTCCCTCTTTCCTACTCACTCACTCTCTCTCTTTCTTAACATTTTTTAATCACAATTCTCTATTTTTTTTTGCTCATTTTAAATACATGTTTAACCATTTTCTAAATTAGTTTTTATGTTTTTACATTTTTTGTTTTTGTGAAGCGCCTCGTGATTTTTACATTGCGAGGCGCTATAGAAATGATATTTTCTTCTTCTTCTGTGATTCAAGCACTGCCGGGCCAGACTCTGGGGTTTTCTAATCCGATCATCCCCGATGGTGATGGAACTTTCCCGTGGGGCGCCGGCTTAGCAATCCGGTGTTTGGGTGTGATGACCGCACCCCAAAGCCCTTGGTTGTAGCAATCTTCGTCACTTGTTGACTGGTGTTCTCACAGGCAGGAATAGCACCCAGATTTCTGTCTGACCCAGTTGTTGTACTCTGAAACTGTAGATGAGACTGCTTTTCTTGTGAAGTCAGCTATTTCCATCAGCTGACTCTCTTGTCAAGCCCTGCAGCCTCTCTCCATGGCAACAGAGTCCTGTTTCATGCTCAGCCATCGGTCCCAGAGTAAAACCACACACTTCCTGTCTTAATCCTCACTTCAACATCAACAGCCAAATCACAGTTACAGATTAATACACTCGTAGGATCTTGGTACAATATGTATAAACACTCAGGGTTACTTCATAACATTTTCAATATCAATACATTTGTTACTTCACACACATAAAGTATTAACGACTCGTTCATTTTCTCTTACACACTAATTTCACTTCTCCTTTTCCATCAAGTCACCGTTAGGCAGCCTTGCAGCCATTTCCTGTAGCCATCTCCAAAACCTTTGCCCTAGCAAACATGGTCATATGATTCTGAATCAACACTTTTAAAACGCTAGCAGAACATCTTTATTCAAACCAAATTATTTAGATCTTTGCTTAGTTATGATCAACGTTACATTCCTCTCCTGCTTTTAACGATTCACGGTTACCCCACGCCAGTCATGAGACTGTGTGTGTGTGTGTGTGTGTGTGTGTGTGTGTGTGTGTGTGTGTGTGTGTGTGTGTGTGTGTGGCTACACCTTGCCAATCTTTCAGCAGAGGTTTCTCTCTTCAGCGACAGAGAAGTTGTGACTCATTTTGACCCATAAGAACTTTATACCAGCACCGCCTGCCTGCAATCAGATTAAATCACTAGAGATTAGTCTTTCATAATTTCTTTTGTGAATCACACTTGATGTATACTCGTCACACCTAAATCACTTTGATAAAAATATATTCATAAAGTCACAAACACATTATCCAGCACAATACACACAAAGCGATTACTGATGAGCTGCTCATGAAGGGGATAAGGGCAAGACAGACTTCAGATTTCACGACAGTTTGTACAGCACAAGTGATAAAGCTTAACAAGATGAAAAATGTGTCAATTTGCATTATTATTTTATTCATAATATACAGTAATATATAATTTATAACAAGGAGATGTGGGGATATAATTTAGTTGACTTTGATAGCATTTCCAAATACTGGTTTAATTATGCACTTAAATGTATTTCACAAACACCTAATAAGCCATTTTTGCTCAAAATTAAAAAAAGGTTGGTTTTTCTTTTAGATAAAATGCTGGATCTAAATTGAGGGGAAGGCCGTCCATGATGCTCTTTGTTGATTTACAGGATGGTTTTACTCCTCTGGCGGTGGCGCTACAGCAGGGCCATGATCAGGTGGTTTCCCTACTTCTGGAAAACGATACCAAGGGAAAGGTTCGCCTCCCAGCACTGCACATCGCTGCACGGAAGGATGACACCAAGGCCGCTGCCCTCCTCCTCCAGAATGACCACAACGCAGACGTAGAGTCAAAGGTAGGACGTTCTGCCTCCACCAGGAGTACAGTTCCATTCGTGACTGAGATGTCAGAGAAGCTGTTTTGTTTTTGGTTTCAGATCTAACATCCTTTTTCTTTTTAAAATGTATCCATCCTTAAATGATTTCAGCAAATGGGCTTACATTAGTGACTTGTGAGCATATGCAGATATTAAAATATCTAGTTGATTATTGTCTAAAAGTGGTCCCTTGTCTCTTTGTGTCATAGAAAATGTAAATGAAACAGCTATTTACTTATTCTCTCTTGAATCTTTGATAACTGATTTGTTTTCCAGAGGTTGAGAATGGATTATTTTCCTTGTTTTCTTTAGTTTAGAAACTCTAACTTTGATCTATTTCTGACTGAAAGTACAGCATCTGCTCCATGCTAACTCTTAAAGAATGCTCCAGCGTAAACATAAGTATCATCAGCGTACAGTCATAGTTTATTTATCGTTTCTTGTAACTTTTTTAGTTGACAATTTTTTTGAAATCATGAACACAACAGACAAAATTTCACCAAACATTTAAATATTTATTAAAAGGCAATTATTTTAATCAAACTAAAATACAAATGCAGGTATGTTGTTATGGGTTGTGTGAACATCTGTGTTGTTTCCTTTGAGTTCTTTTCATTATCTTTGACCTCATTGTCACATATTCATTAGGCAGCTTGGTGCAGCCATGTTGGTGTTGCTGTAGTTCCTGTTGTGGTGCACTAATCGCCCCATTCTCTCCTCCTCTGCAACCTTTCCTCCCTTGACTTGTTCCGCCTTTTTTACCCCTCGACCCGCTCCCTCCCTTACCCCTCCTAGATGATGGTGAATAGGACAACAGAGGTACATCTTCTCCTCTACTTTTCTTCCTTTCCTTTCCTCTTTTCTGTTCCTACTGTCCACTCATGGTCATCACTGCAAAGCTTTCTGTCTGCTAGCATGAACGCTAAATGCTAGCATGAATGCTTTTGCGTCTCACCTGAATGCCAATTTCCAAGCCTGCATCACCCTTGGATGTTGCTTTTTGTGAATGCACTGGCTTGCTACTGAAATAGTTTAAATTTTAGTTATGGGTCCTTTTTTGGGCTCCACCTTTGTGCATCAGCTGAAGGCTTCTGGGGGAGCCCATTGCTATTTTGGGGGAGCTGGGCTCCCCCTAGCTCCCCTGTAATTCAAACCCAGGTGTCTGTTTTGTGATCATACATGAGTTTGAGACAGTTAGTTTAAAACAATGTCCTTGCTTAACCCACTGTTTGTTTTAATACAGGTACATGAAAAATTGTTGAATATCTGTCATAAAAGTTGAAACGATCTTGGTAAATGAAATTGTTTCCTTGTGGATCAATGCTTTTAAAACCATGCTGGTTCAGTGAAACACTTGGATGTCCTGGGCTGGAGACCTGCCCAGGGTGTCCCTCGCCTCTTGCCCGATGATTGCTGGAGTTAGACACCAGCTTCTTGTTCATCATACTAACGAATGACTGAATGAATTTTGGTGTCCAAAAGGTGTCACCTTGACTCTTGTGCTTGTTTCTTTTTATTCAAAACAGCTTTATTAACAACCACTTTGGTCTTTTATACAGATGCATGTTGAGCTGCACATGACAGCCTGTCAAAGTTAAACGGTCAAGAAAATCCCAAATGATCCACAGTAAAAGCATTGTCACCGAGCTGTGTGTAGTCTTGTGGTTTAAATTAGTTCTATTAATTTTTCAAAATGGGCCTTTATCTAATTATTTGTTTAATGGTGTCATCGTTACTCCACATGCGTGCTCCACAAACAAGACACATGTCTGCTGAATTCCCAATCTACAGAACACCTATATCCATGTATTGTCATTAATTCACTTGTAGTTTACAAAAAGTTTGTTCTGGACCTTCTAAAAGGGTAAAATAACACAATAAGCAAAGATTTGATGAAATTCTTGGAAAACAGTGTAATTTAAATACGTAGTAGAGAAAAACTATTTTGCACATAGATGAACAATGTTCTATAATATTCTTATGTTTTGATTATTTTATGTAGGACCAGCTTAGCTAAATGATTATAATTCCTGTTATAAAAGTGTAATTTAACTGTTTATTTATTTATTTTTGTCAAGTTTTGGTGACATGTCTGACTTCTGCTCACTCTGCTTCTGGCAAGCTACTGTTCTATGTTATGTCTCATCATGCTTTGCTCAGCTCATAATGAGGTTTTCTTCTTTATCTTATCCTTTTTTGAAAAGTTATGTCCTTCCTTCCTTCCTGTGTGTGTCCGTCTTGTCCATCTCAGAGCGGCTTCACTCCTCTCCATATTGCGGCTCACTACGGCAACATCAACGTAGCGACACTGCTGCTTAACCGAGGGGCAGCTGTGGACTTTAAGGCGAGGGTAGGTACTTTGCTTGCTGTGCTGCTCTGTCGTTTTCCACCACTCGTGTCTTTCTGTTGCTGAAAACTGCAGGAAAAAAACCTGGATCTGCAGGGTGGAATCTGCATGTTTGGGTGATTTTTCACTGTGAAGGTGTTTGTTTTCTTCTGCATGTAGGGATTACTCATACCTGCTGATAATAAAACCTGTTTCATGCTGAGCAAAGTTCCAAAAACGGATCCTGGAGGATTGTGTGTCCACATATTTGTTCCATGCTACGCATTTGTGTCTTAGACCAGAATTTTTTTACCACGTTTTTTATTGTTGTAATTCTAAACGTTGTAGTCTATCTATAAATAGTGACAAAGCATTGAACTTATAGCCTACTTTTAATGATGAAAAGTGAACAAATGGTGGGTTTACCATTTACAAATAGAGACGCTCATCACCTTTAGCTTGTTTTCATAAATCATTTACAAAACTAAGACAACAGAAGCAGTTTACCAGAAAACCAGCAATGATGCAACTGATGATGCACTTCCAGAGGGGGATATTGAGCCATTTTCCTTTAACAATAGACTTGTTCAAGATGAGCAGCGCCTCGCCTGGAAAACAGACGAGAGCAGACGGACGCAGCAGGGGAGTGGCTGAAAGATGGCGTTTAAGTCGGACAGATTTCCCTGCATGTGTAGCTCGCGGGTGACGATGGATGAAGATATCGCGTTAGAGTTCATACTTGTTTAATTATTTATTTTAATTCTGGTGCCTGTTAGCAACCGAAACACATCCTCACGTGCTTGTGGATTTAATATAATGCATATGGAGACCTGACTGTAATAATAAGTAAAGGTTATCAGCTGTAGCTTTAGTGTGTTCATGGGAAACGTGACTAAAGAACACAAAACACATTTCACCTTATGGCCCATATAGTTGACATCTACAGCGTTACATGATTTAAAGAATACATGTGACCAACTAACATTTTATATTCTACCACTGGATGTTTGGATCAGAAAGTGAACCAATCAGATCTTAGATCAGGTGAGAGCCTGGCGTTTCCCGCCATGCCCTAGGTTTAGCAGCCGGTGGAGAGCAACTGCAGCGCCTTGCTCCAACATCTGCGGCCGCCTTGATCTCACGAGGATATCGTTGCCTACATTTGCATGACGTCAGAGCAAGACGACGTCAAGTCGGACACAAATCTAACCGGCAAGCACTGCGCGCCGATCACCGGTCATCTACTCTGCGCAGAACTGGCTCATCTCGAACAAGGCTATTGTCAAAAACAGTTCATTGTTTTCCTCTTTTACCTTCAGTTTTTTTTTTTACTTTTATCATTTATCAAGACAGTATGTCACCTAGACACAGTCTTCACAGTTTTGTGTATCTGATTAGATGATAAAAGTTGTAAGTTTTCCTACTTTGTGCAGCTGAGGGAACCAGTGTTGCTTCTTTTCTCTGCAGAATGACATAACACCTCTGCACGTAGCATCCAAACGAGGAAACACCAACATGGTGAGACTGCTGCTGGAGCGAGGAGCCAAAATAGATGCTCGGACCAAGGTACAAACACATGCTCATACCAGTCATATTAATCCATGTTTTAATGCTCCTTAGATCCTTAGGGAAGAAAATCATGGACGGTCCTTGTCAAATTGTTGTAAATCATATTATGGGCTTCAACCATCGATGTATATGTTCAACATGATGTGGAGACTGATAGTGTTTGGAATTTTATCTTAGGGTTAGTTAATATTAAACATCCCTAACTTTTATTTAATGCGACATAAATCAGTTCTGTTTGAAGTATTTTCCTTAATGACACTTAGTAAAAGATTTTCATAACTTCCAAATCCTCCTCCAGTTGTGAGTTGATAAACTGCTGAGTTCCTGGGTGGTTTAATTTGTTTTTTGTGTTTAAGTCGGAACATTAGCTGGTTCTTTTCACAGGATGGCCTAACTCCGCTCCACTGTGGAGCTAGAAGTGGCCATGAGCAGGTGGTGGAGATGTTACTGAACAGAGGAGCTCCAATACTGTCAAAAACCAAGGTGCACCTTCTGCCTTAATTCTTCTTTATTTTTTAACAAACTGCAGCTAAATTAAACACATTCTTTTACTCGTTATTTTCTGTCCAGAATGGATTATCTCCTCTTCACATGGCAACACAAGGCGACCACCTGAACTGTGTCCAGCTGCTGCTGCACCATGAGGTGCCCGTGGACGACGTGACCAATGACTACCTGACGGCGCTGCATGTGGCCGCCCACTGTGGTCACTACAAAGTGGCAAAGGTCATTTTGGACAAGAAGGCCAATCCCAACGCTAAGGCGCTGGTGAGAACAAAGACATCCTACAGTAAAAACATGCTGCTGTAGACTCCTGAGTTACTTTTCATGCTGGAAAAGATGGATGACATTGCAAGAAGATATTTTTTTATCCCTACTTCTAATTTATGGAACTGTAGAGTAAAAGGTACATAAGGCAAAAGATCCAAACGTTGAGAAAGAGAGGATAACTGAAAAAGAAGAGACAGGACATTGTGGGGAGTAAAAGGAAGAAAACAGAATAAAGAGAAACTTCATACCTCCAGCCAGTGTTCTGACGTAAGGCTGGGATCTGTGCTCTATAATTGGAAAAGTCTGGGTGTGGTTGGAGCACTGGGACTTTATAGCTGGAGAGAATAAGAAGGGAAAAGGGTCGGAAAATGAAGTCATACAACTGAGGCAGAAACCTCAAACTAAAAGAAGGAGGGATGACTGGAGGAAGGGGAGAGGCGAGGGGAGTGTGTGCAAGTTGGCAGGAGGATTAAGTTGTAAGAAAACATCTATATGAGTGCAGAGTAGCTTTTATAGCTCAGAGTGAACTTGATTACTCCCTCAGCTGTCGGAGAGGCAGAGGAGGGAAGAAGAGAAAAAGTTTCTCTTTGTTCTCTACTTCCTGTCTGATGCTCCAAATTATTTATCAGGACGTACAAAGCCACACGTGGTTTTCGTTTTTATCATACTTATTTTTGTTTTTCACATCTTAGAATGGTTTCACTCCCCTGCACATTGCCTGTAAGAAGAACAGACACAAAGTGATGGAGCTACTTCTGAAGCACGGGGCATCTATACAGGCGGTCACAGAGGTAAGGTGTGTGTGTGTGTGTGTGTGTGTGTGTGTGTGTGTGTGTGTGTGTGTGTGTGTGTGTGTGTGTGTGTGTGTGTGTGTGTGTGTGTGTGTGTGTGTGTCAGTTCCTGGTTAATACCCTGCATCTATGACTCCGCAAACAACACATTGCAACAGAATGCTCCATCAGAGTGTCTCTGATGCAGAAATGATAAAAGAACGAACGGCTGAAGTGATGGAAAGCATGTTTAAAAGCAAACAAAGAAGAGGAAACAACAGCTCTAATTAATCAAATCCCTCTCTCTGACTCT